CGAAACTTTTCTACATTTATCAAATATTTGAAGTCACATGTTTGAACCACTTCTCTATTTCATCCATGTACTTGTAAGTTGTAACGTCAAAGTCTTAGTATGGGCCATGGGTCATACCATATTGTCCAACTTGATTACATTTATGTATGAAGAAAAAACGTGTATACAGTTTGATGTTGGAGAGTCGGGTTTGTTACCTTAATTATGTTTAAAATATTCCCATATCTTGGTTGGCTTTTGACACTTCCAAACGTTGGGTTAGCTGTCATTCCATGGAAGTTTGGTTTGGGATTTAGTGTGGATTAGGTGATATAATAAACTTTACCCTCCAAGTGTTTCAAATATAAACTATTTTATTCACCAAAAGAAGAAACTCCCAGCAGAAGTGAGCCAAATATCACGTGCCAACAGAATTTGTGAGTGGATTATGTTTGCTTTTGTCCCCTTCCAAATCCACAGGAATTATTCTGTGGACATCTTTGATGCAGAATTTGCAGAGTGCAATAACTGTATAAGTTTTGATTAATTGCACTCCACTTCCTGATGTCTTGTTTCAAATGGGAACAGGTATTACTATTAGCTGGTGTGGATTGAAGAGGTAGTGGAATCAGTTCACATTTGCAGTAGTTTGAAATTACTGCAGATTAGGACTCGTTGACGGAGGTCAGAGGCTGGTTTGACTAGGGTTTTTGGGTCAAAGGTCGATGAGTGGCATAATTGTGATTTGAGAGTGATATTCATATATGATGATGAAGTAAATGTGAATTTACTATCCACCAAACATTTGATGCAAAATGTCTTCTGTCTACGAAATGGTTCTATATAGGATTGAGATTATTTCTGGATTTCTATCTTCGGAGCAGATAGTCTCGAAAATCTAGCCATGAGAGAGAGAGATCAGGATGTGAGTTTGTGCTAGTTGTGGCTAGTGTGATGAACTAATGAGAATCGTATGATTTAAATTAAATGTTCGGATTTCTGAGTTCGTTTACTCCAAAGATAGAGATCCAAGGATGATGTCATTCCTAGTTTCACACTTCACATCATCAGTGTCAGGGTGGCACTATAACTAGAGTCATGATTTTCTTGGCAAAGTGCTTATCAAAACGAATGCAATGCGTTGTTGTTTGTTTGTTGTGGATTGAAAACCTTATTTGACAAACCATGCATACCATCCATGCATGCGTGCATTATAGTCAAGAAGGATATTAGGGTAATTCGCATGGCATGTGGGCTTATCCTAGCCCTCCATGCTTGTTCCCGCGTGGCATATCAGCAGAACATCCCAACTTTGACAGGAAGCTCTCTAATCCAAAATCTTCAAGAAGCCAAATATTCACAGCCCGAGATTTTTGCCACTTTCGTTGAAATTTGTATCCCCTTCTGGACAAAAAAATTGACCCTCCCTCTCACTTGCAAACCTGTAATTAGCTTGCTCCCACCAATCCTCTGTTCCCCACCTAATCATGCACTCTAATTATAGAGGGGTTCATTCTTAGAATATTACGTACAAGTTACTTTCTTTAATCTTATAATTCTAATAAGTCTCTGCTACAATACGAACAAATACTCAAAACAAACACCCAAATATCATAAATAGTACAGTTGACGCGGAGTGAAGCAGCAGTACTTCGAAAGATTGTTGTACTATTTTGTTGGTGATTTACAAATATTCGTACTTAATATACGTTATTTATAGCTTAGAAACATCGTAACAACCAAGCTGGTAGTAACAGAAAACCCAGAAATTATTTAATTTCTGTGAGCGTTTGGTTCCCAAGTGGCAAAGTCTTTTTATTTCGACCAAAGAGTCCCCTCCCCTCCCCTGCTAATTGATTTAAAAGCACCAATGACCATAAGCTCACATGAAAACCTCTGACGTTTTGGAATTAAACCATGCAAATGAAAGAAACTTCGCAATCACCGCATCAGTGACCGGCGATATTTCAAGTCAGACTCTCGGAGTCGTCAGTCAACCAACCAAATCCAAACGACTTCCATAATCCTTCAGTTTTTCTTCAACTGTTACAGTTGCTCACCGCGTTAGATTTCCCCCTCATACTTAAAACACCTTTTAGCTGTGATTTGAGATTAATCAAAATGGATATCTGACAATGCTAGTAAATGAATAATGTTAAAGAGATCACATTTATATTTGACAGTAAGCTCTAGAACGGTGGTATAAAATGGTCAAACAAAATAAACATAGTCTCTTTAATATTTTCTATGTAAGTATTTATGTGTAGGAGAAGCTTTTTGAAATACAGTTCTAACTGTTTTTGACAAAAATAAAAAATAAAAAATAATTTTGGTCATACAAGTGATATTTGGAGAAACACTTGTCAGATATTCTTAAGGACTTTCAAGTCTTTTTTCTTTCAAAAAGCACATGAATTCAACATATTTAAATTAAACACTTATAATAAAATCACTTATAAACATAAGTGTTGGGGTCAATACAATTTCTGTTGCTGAAGCTTTAGCCTTAAGAGATGCTTTGTGGACTAAAAAAAATGAAAGGCTATACAAATGTGGATGTCGAGGGAGATTCGAAGTTGGTCATCGATGTTGTAATCGGGATTAGTACAACACTTTGGGGATTGAAGAATATTATTAAAACATCGAGCGGTTGGCGAATTCATTTCATTCAATCTCTTAGAAGTATGTGTTTAGAGCAACTCCACCCATGGAGCCCTTCCCCTTGGCAATCCACTATTGAATTCATCATTTTGAACAGTAACTGCCTTTAATGAATGGTAACTGCCATTAATGAACAGTAATTGCCATTTGCATCTCCACCCTTGGAGCCCTCCCCCTGGCAATAGGCAATAAAATATTAGTTTTTTTTGTTTGTTTAAATAATACAAAATAAAATTATTTGTAATTTCAGATAAGATTTTTTAAATCGTTCTCGTTGCGTCACGTGTCATTTTATAAAAAAAAACAATTATTTTGTGATGGATTTCGATAAGATTTTTATCCAATGTCATCGTGTCACGTGTCGTTATCTTTTGAGAATCTTTGACGATAGATTTCAATTAGATTTTAACTCGTTCAAAATTGCGACACGTGTCATTATCCGAAAAGATAATTATTGGAGATCGATTTCGATAAGATTTTTATCCAATACAATCGTGCCACGTGTCATTATCTTTTAGAATTTTTGAGGATAGATTTCGATCAGATTTTTAACAAATGACGACATGCCACGTGGCCTTATCTACAATCCAATCCTTTCTGAATCGTCCATATAATCCATCATCCATCCTCACAAATCTCACACCAATTTTCTCAACATCTCTATCTCATTATTCATAGTTTCTGCTTCTTCTTCACCATCCATCCTTACAATGTCATCTTCTTCATCAAGGATGATGTGGGAAATCGTCAGCAAGAGGAAAAATTGTTTAACCAATCTGAAGGAATGTTCAACCTTCAGATAGCCGAAAATGAGATGGAAGAGGATAAGGAGCGTAGAAGGAGAGATGACGAAACAAGAATGGCCAGAGCCTCACATTCCCGTCGAGTCATCCAGACTGTTACTCAGATATGCAGGCCCAGCCGTTCAAGAAACCTTGATAGAAGCAGGCAACGACGGGGTGAAGAGCTGTTGGACGATTAAACTCCACATTTCTCGCAACTGCATCTCATTACCCGTAAGGGAATTATGAGTAACTTCAACCCAGCTAGTGCATAACGCAACATCTTCAAGAAGCGAGTACCTGCATTAGTAGTCATTTTGTGGAAAAAAATTGGATTGAAACTTTGAGAAAAAGATAGGAATTTGATTGAAAGTAGTTGAGAAAATATGAAATTGTGGTGTAAGGTAGATGGAGAAGAAGTGGTATTTATAGAAAAGTAAAAACAATTTTTTAGAATTTTTTCGGATTTTTACAATTTTTTTAAAATTTTTATTCAAATAATTAATCTTTGCCGTTGGATTTTAAAAAATTTGAATTCCAACACTCCAGATTATGCCACGTGTCACAACGGTAACTTTTCTTAATTTAAAAACCATTTTTTCTTTTCTTTTTTTAAATTTATAAAGCAGATTAATATCAACCGTTGATCTCAGATCGAACGGTTGATATAAAATCAGCTTTTTTTTTATTACCGTTGCAAATCGGAAGGCTCGTATTAAAAAGTCGTTGGGATCGAACTGACCATGGGAAGCCACGTGCTTCCCAACGGTAACTGGGTTGCTGGGCTCGTGCCCTGAATTCCTGTCGGGCGACGCGCCCCCACTCGCAAGTGAGGGGCACGTGCCTGACACAAAAAAAAATAAAAATAAAAAGCCCGGACTCAGGCCTGACGTCACGGGCCTCGGGCCACAGACCTGTCGATTGCCCACCCCCCCCCCCCGGCCCTCGGGCTCCCACCCTCACTCGGGCTCTCCATGGCTGGAGAAGAACCAACCGGCCCTCGGGCCCTTTCTTGGTGCCTGTCCCCCGAGCAAAGAGCAAGGCTGGACTTGCTCTTAAAGAAGTAAATTTTGTGGCGGATTTTGTCACTAGTGTAGACTTTAAGGTTGCAAACCTATATATTAGGGATAAGTATTTGCCGCCTGTGGCAAGTATTGATATTGCTTGTGACCGTGGCCATTCAATCTAATTAATTTATTTTTTTGAGAAAAAAAAACTTTTTCTCATAATATAATCCTAAATGAGCCCTTAAACTTTTATTAAAATCTCAATATGTGCTTACAATACAAAAGCGTTGTGAAAAAGGATAAATTTTTCAATGTGATCGGTACACCACGTGTCATTATATAATAGTTGAGATATGTGTGTTAAAAAATTAATAATTTAAAAAATAAAAATTTTCATCACTTATATAAAAAAACATGATGTACCCTCTGTATTCGAGTTTCAATAAAAAATTTCTCTTGAAAAAGGGCATAAAAGTTTACGGTCATTACATCAAGAACGCTTTTGTTTCGAAAACTCAACCTCGTAACAGGCTTTTTCTCTGTAGAAGGCTTCTTCCTACTTTTTCTCGTGCCCTCTAAATGGACATTTCCATCTTTACTTTTTAGTTTAGTTTTTGGTCAATCACCACACTTTACGAACTCCCCTTAACATTTACTAGCCCCCCAGTTTCCTCCATTACCATTTCATTTATTCATTATATTCCCACTCCTCTCTCTCTCTCTCTCTCTCTCTCTCTCATGGAATTTGAAAACTAAAGGCCAGTTTTGCAGGGAAAAAAATGAGAATCCTGCTTAGGTATTCACTTCTTCTGGTGCTGATTGCAGCAGCAGAAGCAGAATCCACCTGCAACAGCACAGACCAAGCCCAAATCTCCAAGGCATTCAAATCAGTCTCCGGTTTCAACCTCTCCTGGCTCCAAAATTCGAACCGACCCAACTGCTCCAACCCAACCATCACTCAAATCAACCTCCCATCCAAAAACCTAAGCGGAATAATCTCATGGAAGTACCTCAGAAACTTGTCGAATCTGCAGGACCTCGATCTCTCTTTCAACAATCTCAAGGGCTCCATCCCGGGCTGGTTCTGGTCCCTCCCGAACCTGGTCCGAGTCAATCTCTCCAAGAACCGGCTCGGAGGGAGCTTCGGGCTCGAACACACATCGGGAAACGGCTCAGTTTCTTCGGTCCAGGAGCTCAATCTCTCATATAACCGGTACACCAACTTGGGCCAGCTCTCTGGGTTCCCGAACCTTACATTTCTCGACCTTTCCCACAACGATTTGGGCACTCTGCAGCCGTCTGCTTTCTCCAACCTCAACAATTTGCAGCACCTCGACATCTCCAGCAGCAGAATTTCTGGGAGTCTAAAACCCATCTCTGTTTTGCACGGATTGAAGTATTTGGACGTTTCGGACAACAAAATCAACGGTTCTTTCCCTTCGGATTTCCCTCCGCTAACGGGCCTGAAATTCTTGAACATTTCGCTCAATAATTTCACCGGCCGGGTCGGACCGGAAGAGTACCAGAAATTTGGGAAAAGCGCTTTTATCCACGCCGGAAAAAACGTCACACCTTTCGACAGTTCCAAAACCAAAGCCCCAAGCTTTCACACTACCAATGCAAACCCACCTCCCAAAACCCTCCAAAAACAAAAACCCATGACCCAAGAATCCCCCCACAAAGAACACAAATCGCAAAAATTCCATAAAATTCTTGTTCTGAGCTTATCCTGCGCATCGGCATTTGTAATCCTTCTGTCCATAAGTACTTGCGTAGCTTGCATATGCAGGAAAAAGTACTTTGCCAAAAAGCACAAATGGGCTATTTCCAAACCGGTTCAGTTAGTCCCGTTCAAGATCGAGAAATCGGGACCGTTCTCTTTCGAGACCGAGTCGGGGACGTCGTGGGTCGCCGACGTCAAAGACCCGACGTCGGCTCCGGTGGTGATGTTCGAGAAGCCGTTGCTGAACTTGACGTTTAAGGACTTGATTGCTGCAACGTCGCACTTCGGCAAGGACTCCCAGCTCGCCGAGGGGAGGTGTGGGCCCGTCTACACCGCCGTGCTGCCCGGCGACCTCCACATGGCTATAAAGGTGCTGGAGAACGCCAGGTACGTCGATTACGATGACGCGGTGCAAGTGTTTGAAAATCTTTCGAGATTGAAACATCCCAACCTGCTGCCTCTCTCCGGTTACTGCATTGCAGGTACTGCACACTTCACTCTCTCTCTCTCTCACCGGCCGGTCGGTCGTTGATAATCTCACCAAACGACATAAATGCGAGACACGGGTTTTAATTCCAATGTCGTAAATGACAAGAGTCCGTACGTACGACACTGTGTTTTGTCACCGTCGTCACGTAAAATCTAATTTAGCACGCATAGGCTATGATTTCTTGCTATTGGTATGATTTTGTTCATAAATTTGGATCTGGATTTTTTGCCTCCCCATTCTATACACTTCTTTTATTTATGTGATCACGATTAAGTTATGTCAACATTTTATATTAATTTTTTTATAAAAATAATAAAACAAAAAGTAACGGGAATATAAAATATTGACGTGATTTAATTGTGTCACAGAAATAGAAAGGGATGGGAAGGATATGACATCCAGGTCCCATAAATTTTCACATGTTTACTGAAAATTTGTTTGTTCCGGCAAAATTTTACAATGCATTGGTATATGAAATGTATTAAAGTATTGAACAACTAAATTGTGTATTGCATAATTTAGCGGTTTAAATATAAGTGCATCTCATACATTGACGTTTAGGGGCTAAGTTCATCTCATTCTTTTCTTCCTCATTTTCCTAATTCGGTTTATTAGATCATAGGTAAGTACACATTTCACTTAATCATATTTGAAACTAACTAAACATGTCATTAAACCCTATTTATTTTTGGGAGCTTTAACGAAAAGCTTCTGATACTGTTCATTTTAACGAAAAATCACATTTTTACACTAAAAAGTCAATCCTGATACTATTTATTTTACCCTTTATTTTGTCTTTATTGTTAAAACTCAAAGTTTACAATTCTTTTTCATTAGTTTTCTTTTTATTTTTCTCTACAGGGAGAGAAAAGTTGGTATTGTACGAGTTCATGGCGAACGGGGATAAGATCACTGACATCTCACGAATTGGATTCGAACCAATCAAGCGGGGACTTGCACAGATGGTTGCACGAGCTGCCCACCGGGGAGCCCAACGTGGAGGACTGGACTGGTGACACGTGGGAGCAAAGCTTTGTTAATGGAGCCTACTCGCCCGAAAAGAAAGGGTGGCTCACGCGCCACCGCATTGCGGTTGGAATAGCCTGTGGACTGGCGTACCTCCACCAGGCAGGGTCGAGTCCCGTAGTCCACGGCCACCTCGTAACTTCCAACATATTATTGGGTCCGGACTTCGAGCCGAGAATAGCCGATTTTGGTTTGAGAAGTATTGGGAGTCGGGGGGAAATTGGCGGCGGAGGTGAAGGCAGCGGTGCGGAGGCGGATGTGTATTGTTTTGGGGTGGTGTTGATGGAGCTGTTGACGGGGAGGACGGGGACGGCGGAGACGGTGGTGTGGGTGAGGAGGATGGTGAGGGAAGGGCGTGGTTTGGACGCGGTGGACGAGAGGTTGAGAGAGAGTGGGGAGTTGGAGAGGGAGATGGTGGAGAGCCTGCGAGTGGGGTACTTGTGTACGGCGGAGTCACCTGGGAAAAGGCCCAGCATGCAACAAGTCCTGGGTTTGCTCAAGGACATACATCCCAGTCCCACTGCCACTGTTGGCTGACTTCACTTCATTTCACGCCCCGTGAAACTGCGTGCAATTAGAAAATTAGAAATGAAAATCGAAATCATTTTTTGTTTTTCTTTTAGTATATCGACGGTGCAGAACTCCGCTGCACATTCATGTTTATTTTTAATCTTTGTTGTCAACTCAAGAAGAACAAAGATGGAAATAAACAGAAGTGTGCGAAAAGAAAAAAAGAGTACGGATGTTATTTCTCATGTCGTTTTGCATTATTCCGGATGTACATTTTCGCTTTAGTGTTTATAAAAAAATGAACTTTAACGAAAAACTTTCGGTGTTTTTCATTTTAACGAAAAACCATATTTTTACGCTAAAAAGTTAATCCTGGTACTATTCATTTTACCCTTTATTTTGTCCTTATCATTAAAACTCAAAGTTTTCAAGTCATTTTCATTAGTTTTCCTTATAAAAAAAATGACTTCTGCACATTCTATTTTTCATTCTGCTTATTACTGTTTACTTTTATGCGTTGATTTATTCAATTATAAGCCTAAATAAATATAGTGTGCAGAAAGAGAGAAGAATATCGAAAAGTCCTCTTATAAATAAGGAATACATGGTGCTAATATCAATTCTTTTTCCTACTTCCAAATCAAGAGTGAATGAATGGGACCACGTTTTGTTGTCTCAAATTTAAGAATTGTATAATCTTTCTTTTAGAAATTAGTGATGTGAATGCAAAAATCAAAGAAAAAATTAAAATAAAAAAAAGTTTGAGCCCATATAAGTATGGAGAATGGGAGAGATGGTGGGGGGGGGGATGTTGAAGTTTAGGTGAGCAGAGAATCAAATTAGTGATGTGAATGCAAAAATCAAAAGAAAAAAATAAAAATAAAAAAAAGTTTGAGCCCATAAAAGTATGGAGAATAGCAGAGATGGTGGGGGGAGATGTTGAAGTTTAGGTGAGCAGAGAATCCCACTTATTGCTTGTCTCTTGTGAAGGATTCTCATCACCACCACCTCCTTTTCCCCCTTCTTTTTGTTTCTACCTGCGACTCTGCTTTATTCGTTCATCTTTCTGGTGATTTATTCTTTTAAATTTCCAAAGAAAAAAGATAAATTAAAGAAGATTAATGAGACGTACTTTATAGTTGGGTGGATAGATCAGACACCTCTTCCTATGCATGAAATATACAATTACGTGTTTGGTTTTGCGGGAGAATTTTCTAGTGGATGGATGTTTGGCCGATGTCAATTGGCTGTATGTTTAATCTGTATATGTTTGGTATTGTTCAATGATTTTCACACGACGATGTTGTTCTTGTCGTCAACGTTTTTGGCTATTTATGTCTGCAGAATCAACCGTGTGTATTCCTTTTTGAGGTATCCTGTTATCATATGGAAACCCTAATTGAAATGCTCCATACAATCTGATGCATGCGTGAGCTACTGTCATCCACTAATGAAAGTGAGTCTCGTAATTCAACAATAGTTAACAACTTCTATTCATCGATAGAAGTTAGTCTCATCCCTTATTAGCAGTTAACAAACACACACGCATGTGAACGATTATCACTAACACAACTCAATTAAAAATCCACACGACAGTTAATATTGCATGTCATAAAGCAAAAGTGAAGAGATTTTTGAATTTTCCGAGTCAGAAATGGTGTATAGGATAATAAGTCGTCATTGTCCAGCTTGATTAGTTTGAAGTCATGTCCTTAGAACTCCAATACCGGGGTGGATCTCTCTCCAGTCATAGCCGTGTAGGTAAAAAATAAAAAAGTAAAAAGCTGAGGTGCTCGTCCAGTCCTTCTCACTCATGATGATTCAAACTCATGCATGTCTGACCGTCATCCCTAAAGTCAGTTGCAACCTGGAAGACTGGGAAAGCTTGTGGGTGCATGCAATGCGTTACCATAGCTAGCAGAAGTTAGAACGAAATACACAAAAGCGAAAGAGAAATTGTATTTTCTAAAGCAAGACAACGATGGAGAGAAAGAGAAAGCTCATCAAGAATTCCGTGCCCTTTTTTCGTGTCTTCACAATTAACGCTTGTTTGATATGAGTAACTATTATAGTAATGTTCCGTGTCAATAATACAATAATATATATTCGTTTTTTCTCTAAATATCTTTTTATTATTAACACAAAACGCCATTATGATAAGAGTAATGTGAATACAAGTTGATCTCTTTGCCTAGACTCATCATAGTAACTAGTCTAACGACACTCCGTCAACGAACACTTGCTATATACTTGGTAGAGTCCAAGTAACCAAATATTTGAAACGTACGTTAATTTCGTTGTCACATACATCACATCGTCGTTGCCTCAACGATAAGGCAACAACAACATTCTCACATGCAACCACAGACCAAGTCTACTTCATGTAGACATCACAATCTCGCATGGATTAATTTTAGACGACACAAATTTGAAGAGTATTTGTGAAGTTTGAGTCGCATTCTTACCTTTGGATCATTGGATGTCAACTCTTCTCCTCATGCATGCTCCACTCAACCATACACATTGTCTTGTGGTATTTGGTTTATTCTTTGCTTAAAAACTAGGGTAAATTACATAGAAACCCCTCAAGTTTGAGATCTATTACAACCTCATACAATATCTTTAAAACATTTCACTTTCATACCTCACGTACTATTTTATTTCAAAATAACACATCCGTTAGATTTTCCATCCAATAGTCTGTTAAATGCTGACGTGGCTGTCACATTTATGCTGATATGGCTGCCACGTGGCAAAAATAATAATTTTTTATACATTAACAATATTATAATATTAACCCTATTATTAAAAAAAATAAATTTAAAAAAAAAACCCCCACAAAAAACCGAACCCACATCCCCTTCCCCGCAACCCCACATCCCACCCCCACCCCTTCACCCATCTCTTCCTTCCTGTCCGTCCCTCCCCTCCACCCCTCCATCCATCCCCTCCACACCCCTCATCCCACCCCACCCCACCCCTACCACCCCCGCAAGCCCCCCACCCCACCTCACCTTCCCCAAGCCCTTTCTCCTCCTCACCTACACACAGAGCTGTCAGTATTGCACTTTTACCACCTACAGAGACAATTTTCAAACCCCTAATTTATCAAAAAAACCATAAATTCGATCAATTTCACATACAATTCATAAACCCAATTCAAACATATGTGCATTTGATAGAGAGAGAAAGTAGAGAGAAGAAGAGAATCGTGCTCCTGGGTGGAGAAGGCAGGTGGGTCGTCGCGCGCCGGGGAGGAGGGGAAGGCAGGTTGGTCGTTGCGGGGAAGGCAGGTGGGGGGGGGGTAGGTGGTCGCCGGGGGGGGGGGGGGGAGAGGGTAGTAGGTCGTGTGTAGGGGTGGGGGGAAGGGATTTTGTAAATGTGAGTTGAGTTGCAGAGAGATGAGGGGGTGGGATGTGGGGAAGGGGAAGGGGATCTGGGTTCGGGTTTTTGTGGTTTTTATTTATTTTTTAATAATAGGGTTAATATTATAATATTGTTAATGTATAAAAAATTATTATTTTTGCCACGTGGCGGCCACGTCAGCATTTAATAAACCATTGGATGAAAAATCTAACGGATGTGTTATTTTGAAATAAAATAGTACGTGAGGTATGAAAGTGAAATGTTTTAAAGATGTTGTATGAGGTTGTAATAGACCTCAAACTTGAGGGGTTTCTATATAATTTACTCTAAAAACTATGTCTGAGAGCTCGAACTTTGGTGTCATTTGTACTTAAATTCAACTTCAGTAGTTTGCACAATCATTGACGTTCCTTGCTTTTACTAAAGTATGATTATTCGAATAATTCAAATTCTCGACTTCCCATGTGTTCATAAACACAAATGAAGTTAAAATCAAAGAAAGGGGGTTAAATTACACCTTCTAAATCCAAATATCAATATATGAAATACCATGTGTAAACTCGACTAGGGTGACCAGTTGATTCGACTCCATGTCTTCTTTTTGATTGCGATCCGCTACTTTCCCTGTTGACATTTGAATTTAATCCATCAAAATAACGATTGAGTGTCACTAAACCAAAGAAAGATCGACCATAACCTTCGACTCCTCCACTTTCTTTTCCTCTTGTACCCTATCTTTCCCAGCCCTACTTCTCGTGGGCCTTGATAATGAGATAAGGCCCAATAATGTCATTTAGGCCCAAGTGAAATTGAACCAACAGGCTCCACTGCAATTTGGATTTTTTTCTTCCGCCAAATCATTTGCTTCCCCAACTTCAAAAAGTTAGTTAATTAGTTAGCGCGAACTCAGAAACCCTAAATCCCCAATTTATCTCTGCTCCCCAAACCCCATGGCATCGAGGAAGAAGCAATCCGACGCCATAGCTCTCCTGCTCTCCAATTACAACGACGAAGAAGAAGATGAAGACATGGAGGACGTTGAGCAGCACAACAACAAAGAAGAAGAAGGAGATGAAGAGCGACGAGAACGGGGAGAATTCGACGATTACGGTGAGCTGAGAGGCTCGGGAGATGCTGCAATGGCGGATGTGGATGGAACGGTGGGTGGTGAGTCTAGGAACGACGATAGCGCACCGCCGAATGCCGGGGATAATGAGGTGGCTTCGGATGGTTTGAATAGAAGAAGAAGAGGGGCACTTACAATTGTGGACTATGGGCATGATGAAGTTGCTATGTCTCCTGAGCCTGAGGTATTATTTTGTTCCCTTTCTTTATTTCGGTGGAAGCTTTTTTATTTCTGAGAAACTGAAGAAACTGAATGAAAAATGATTTGGGTATTATCATGTTCTTCTGAATTTGATTGATTTTTTAATGTTAGAGTTGGATTCTTGTTCCAGTTCGATTGAGAGTGCGCAGTTCATGTTTTCAATTGCAAAGGATGATACCTTGAGTTTGAGTATTCGAAAAGCGGTCGTCATGTTAGGTTTTGCCCAGCCAAATGTAGATCTTTTCCTTGATATTGGATATTGAACAATGCTCCGTGTTTAGTCATACATAATTAGGGTGTGTGGAAGTTTGTTATCTTTGCTGACCTTATTAGTATGTTGTTTTGGGCGATGCTTGATTGCAGGAGGGTGAAATAGAAGGGATTGGTCGTGTTTCTGGTGATTTCCTTGATAAGACACCTCCAGGAACAGTTCATACTCCTCAATTATCTGAACCGTCAAACTCTGACACAATGAACGATATTGTACTTGAATCTGAGGGTAGAGATGCTGCAGAGTCTGTTGCAGAAGAGCAGAAAGATATTGTTCTGTTGGATAAGTTTCTCCCGCCACCATCAAAAGCAAAGTGTTCAGAGGAGCTGCAAGTAAGTTCCTTTTAGATTCTGATTTCCAAATAGGTTCCTTTGGGGTTATAGAATGTAGAACTGTTCATCTTGGAGATAGCCTCTTGTTCTTGATGTTTTCAGGATCAATTGATAAAGCCTGATCTAATATAACTTCTTAAGTCGTATATGTTTAGCTTATTGTTCTATGGTTACACGACGTTTGTATTTGAATCTCGTCTTTTGAGGCTTTGTCATTGCAGGCATCCAAATCCAATAATTTGTGGTTTTAACTTTGTAAAGATGATGCCTATGTGCCTTTTCTTCACTTGACAAGTCATTTCATGTTGTGTATATGTTTAACTTTTGGGTTTCTTCTTGCTGCAGAGGAGGATAAATAAGTTTCTTGAATACAAGAGAGCTGGGAAAAGCTTCAATGCAGAAGTGCGTAATAAGAAGGACTATAGGAATCCAAACTTTCTGGTGCATGCAGTGAGGTATCAAGATATTGATCAGATAGGGTCTTGCTTCAGTAAAGATGTATTTGACCCTCATGGATATGACAAAAGTGACTATTGTGATGAAATAGGTTACTCACAATTCTTTCAACTCTCTTTCTGTGTATTTCCTGTCATGCATCAGTGCGCTGTTTAACTTGTAACATTGTATATAATATTTTGTATTTCACGTAAGTGCATTGTCAAGTTAGCTGTTATGGTTAGTGATGCTTTTTGAAATTTTCTCTGATAGACTATTTCGTATGTAGAGGGTGATATTCAAGAAATTGTAGTAGAACTTATGTATTCTAAAAATAATTGGATAATCTGCTGCTATCACAAATACCAAATTCATAGACTGTAACGAAGAGGACACTGTCACGTTTTTCTGTACAGAATTTTGTTTTCCAACCCTGTTAGTTTTTCTTCTGCTTATGTTTTGTATGTTTTGGTAAGCAGAGGCTGATATGAGGTGTGAAATGGAAAGGAAAGAGCAAGATAGGAAGAAGAGTCAAAAGGTTGAATATGTTTCAGGAGGAACACAGCCTGGAATAGTTGGTGTTGCACCTAAAATTAACATACCTTATCCAGGTTTGAAGCAACTTTTAATTTTAAACTTTGGTAGTAAAGATTGATTAGGCATATGCAATTCCACACAACTTTATCACCTGAGCCAAGGCCTTGGCCCATCGGCTTAATAGTTAATTTAATGGTTGATCCTAGCCTTTCAAGATCTTTCTCTTTCATTTTATTCTCGTAAGTTCTCTTATACCGTGTCATTCTGCAGGTGTTTCAACCATGGCTGCTACTGGGTTGAGCTCCTTACCGCCTGCAGCTGATGTCATCCCTCGGGAGGGTAGACAGAACAAGAAGTCAAAATGGGATAAGGTTTCAATCTATGGATATGGACTATTACTTCCCTATAAATTGTGAGAGATATCAATTGATTGATCAACTGTTTTATACGACGTTACTTCTTTCAGGTCGATGGTGATCGAAAAAATCCTCTTCCCTCAGGACCGCAGGATTCTATGTCTACTCTGGGAACTCATGCAACACTCTTATCTTCTGCCAGTGCTGGTGCTGGATACATGGCTTTTGCGTATGTTTGTTAACAGCCTTTGGTCTTATTTTACTCATCTATCGTGAATTCCTTTCCTGTTCTTAGTGACCATGTCATGATAAGTTTTGTTTTGTTTTCTTTTCTTTTTGTTTTCTTTTTTTTTCTTTTTTTTTTCTTTTCGTTCATTTTAAATTTACTTGTGTTCTTGTGTTGCCAATCCTTTCCGACTTCTCACAAAATGACCACTTTGCTCTAATTTGGCAGGCAGCAGAGACGAAAAGAGGTGGAGGAGAAACGATCAAGTGAAAGGAAGTTAGATCGAAGATCTTGAGCCGTTTCTTATATTTCTTCCTAGCAGAGGTGAAATCACGGAGAGAAGCACAGGCATCATATACAACAGATTCCAAAATTTCAAGAGGAGAAAACGACTCCAGGCAGCACTATTTACGGCTAGATTCACTGCAACAGGCTTGTAACTTTTGCTATCGATTATACATGTACATTTTCGGAATGATAATCCAATTGACAGCACACAATTCAAGGGCGCTCAAGTCGAATTTTCCTTGGATAGAATCCAACTACAGAGGAAAGAATCGAGTCGACATGATGCAATGGCTATAAAATTGTAGTTGTTGGACTGTATTATGGTTAATTTCCACCGATTAAGGATGTCCTTTGGACCTTGTCTCCTACAATACTACAATATTTGCATACAAAAGTTAATGATGTCCAGTTTTCAGTCCCTTTTTGGCGCCCTACCCTTTTTGACCCCCGTCTTTTATCAAGATAATTAAATCACAAATTTTTAGGCTAATATACATTACTAGTCACTTTACAAATTGTGTTATTTTGGAAAACAAAAATAGGTGGGGGGATGCAACACGAGAACTTCCTAGGAGGTCATCTATACAAATTGTGTTATTTGGTACCAATATTTGTTTAGCAGTATTTGGAGTTTTGGTTGCATGCAAAGATAAATGACCTTAACTGCTTGAGCTGCAAGTCTCTGTATGTATTATCTTTAAATTGTACAAGTCTCTTCTGTGTGTATTATCTCTAAATTGTTAGGAAATGGACCGTAAGGGGTCCTTAGTAGAGTTATCAGTTAATGGAGTAAGACGTGAACAAATAAAAGTAACCAACAATTGTCACTTTAACAAAGATTAAGGAAAGATTGGTTATTAGTAAAGCGATCCAGTTGTATTGTCTTTTCTTGGATGTACACATCACCTCTAGATATACATTCCATGTTCTAGCCGAAAGTAGTCCCTGACGTGCAAAGATAATGCAAAGTAAACAAGTCAGTGAAGACAACCCTACCTCATCTAATCTCTTTCACACTACGCCTTGGTTACAAGAAACTCTCTCCTTTCACACAGACCCATTACTTTGTGGTTGACAACTGATTGACATCGTTGTCATTTAACTGGCATCCTACTCCCATTATTCTACAGTCGTTTTCTTTTTCCTTGTAAAAGTTGTAGTTCCATTAGTTAGTTTTCCTCGACGACTGAGAAACTAGGCCATCGTCAAAACTAACCTGTGGACCCTTCGACAAAATCATCCATGCTTCCACCCGTTCTTAATTTGTTCTTAAACTGTGCACGACCTTGACTCTCCTTGTACAAAGGATGCTTTTGTTTGCTTTGACCAGGATAATCATTCTTCTCTTGAGAGTTGAGATTACTTATCAGTATATATGTAGGCTTCCTTTGCATGCTTTAATAATACATATGGTTACGTCATCAGATTATGAACCTCAACTATCCATGCACGAATATTTGATCGATCAGTATCTTAGAAAAAGAAAGTAGATTAAAGTGAGCTTTGTGGTGAGTAGATTAAAGTCAGCTTTGAGGTGATTATACCACTTGAATGGATATATATTTCCTGGCGTTAAAGCTATTTAAGCTATGTTGCGCAAACACGAACACAAATAAAGAGCTACGCGACAATGATAGTTGGATCTAGGATGGGCTTGGGGTAGATTCTAGGCTTCACATGTATAAAAAAGAAAATTAATGAAAAAGAATTTGAAAACTTTAAGTTTTAACAATAAAGAAAAAATAAAAGGTAAATTGAATAGTACCATGATTGACTTTTTAGTGTAAAAATATGATTTTTCGTTAAAAGTAAACAGTACCGGAAGTTTTTTTTTGTTAAAATTCCCTTTATAAAAATATTTATATGATTTATGTTTTAGCATATTCTCTGGATTCATGTTTCCTAGATAATTCCTCGGAAGTGGTGATTGAACATACAGCTTTTGCTCTCTTTTTAACTTTCGGGAAAAATGGCTTTAACTTTGCATATACCTTGCTGCTGGGTAGGTCTATGCAAATTACACTCTGCGCAAAGACAATACGTTCTGCAATCTTCACCCTAAACCGTGACGTATTATATTCTTGACCACTGACAAGAAAAGGAGAAAACCATGTACGGTGCTTGCACGCATGCATGCTATTGCTAACGACAATTGTTCACACATGTATGTAGCTGGTAATTGTCATCAGTCCATACATCGCGAGATCCAGTCACCAATGTCCGTGTATGGATACTATCCTTATAACATTATAAGAAGTGAAGAATGTCATACTTCAAAAAGTTAAGGAACCTGATGATTATCAAACGTTATTTGAGATTTTTAATGTGTTTTTGGATGAAATCTCAAACTTTTTAATAATATTAGTAAATTTTCTCATGTGACAGTGACGCACTTCACACTTGAGGAGGTGAACCGTGAACGTATGGCTTATATTTTCTTTCTGAAAGTTGGTTAATGGTGGTAGGGTGGGTCTGGGGAGGTCAGTAGAAAGTTGTAAATACAATAACCCTTTGCTCTTATATTTTCTTTCTGAAAGTTGGTTAATGGTGGTAGGGTTTTGGGTCTGGGGAGGTCAGTAGAAAGTTGTAAATACAATAACCCTTTGCTGTATAAACAGCAGATAAAAGGGAAAACTCGAACTGTAGGTACAGGATATGTCCTACGTACATACACATGTACAGAGTGTATTATTAAAACGAAAGAGATGACAGATTGATCAGATGGGGCTCCCATTTCCAAGCTGCTTGTCTTTCTTTCTCAGCGTATAGTGAAATATAGACGTTGGACATTTGGAAAAGTGTCTTCGCACGTTGAGGTCTAGTCATTTACTTCTTTCTTTAACACGAGAAATAAACCAAACAAAAGTGCTTTAGGATTTGTTTACAGTTAACAAGAATTTTCGTTTAAACGTTTATTTCCCCTATTTGTTGAAATAATTATATCAACTAAGGTTTCTTATTTAATTAGATTCTACTTGTTTGAAAACATAATTAATTGGGGAGGTATAAGTGTTGTTTTCATATTTTTCATCGCGTACTCATCACACATGTAATGATAAATATAATACAATGAGATATTTACACGGTTAAACTGTTAATTTTTAATTCGTTAGCGTTTAGGATTGTTGTGTATGTAACATATACTATGTTTTTGGTAGTGTTAACCACAAGATTATGTATTAAAGTTTTATTCTCATATATTGATGCCATCATTTATTTTGTGAAGGTCCACATAGGTGTCACATGAGTTTCACATAGACCCTACATAGATACACATATTTATTGGAATGAGATCTACTCCGGATTTGTGTCTGGAGTCTGAAAACTGTTCAAAAGAAAGATAAAGAGATCTGGATCATTCAAGTTTTTTGGTTGTTGTGAAGTGTGCTAATAGGATTAGCTAATGAGGGTCGTAAAATTGAAATTAAGTGGTTCTGATCTCTCATTTTGCAAGTTCAGGACACAAAAATTCAGCATTAATCTCAATCCATATTTATTATATATTGACAAATCACATACATGCAATTCCAACAATACGTTTATTCTAAGAATATGCAATCCTACACATAGAACTTTGTCTATAACTATTTGCGTGAGATAGTGCGATGAGTCATGTGTTTTACACTTACTCTTAAGCATCACACATTATATACCATGTATACACGGAATGAGTGTGAGTGAAATATGTAATAACCTAGCTAACAAATAAAATTGACAACATCGATAAGAAAATATTCAAATTAACTAGGCAAATACTAAGGGTAGTCATACATGCACGAATTGACAACTCCTAATGATTGATGCAATGAGGCTCCAACATACATGACACATTTACTATTAAGAGTCAAACATTGTGTATAGGCGACTAATCCAGCTCAAGAGGTCATACCGTAGTTTTTTTTTTCATTCTGAAGGTTCTAAAAATCCAAAGTACTAACCCAACTCAAAAAAACATACTGTGATTTCTTTTTCTTTATTAAAATTCTAAAAATCCAAAGTATAAACTCAAAAAGAAAAGTTATTAGTTTTGCATTAGTATGTTATTCATAGTTTTTTTATTTATTAAAATATGTAAGAATAACTCCTAAGCTTATCTACAATTTTTCTCCTTTTAAGGATAAAAATTAGATTTGCAAAGATAGGATTAAGAAATTTCATTTATTAAAACAACTAACAATTTGAACACTAATTTATTGTTTTACCTTTTTAGGTACTTATAATTCAGAATAATTAATAAATTAGGTTGTAAAAATGTAGTGGGAACAGTGTGGCAGGCAACGGTAACATCCAGTTTGGAAGTTCCTTAAAGGGCAATTTCGGAATATGATAAATTTAACGGAAACCATTGTTCAAAACCTACCAAAAGCAGGGAGAGAGAGATATAAACCCAAAAGGCCAAAGCAAACTCAACAGTGGGCGCCAAGTGCACATTTTTCTCCTCTCTGTCACTGCTTTCCAAATCTCACTCCTCAGCATTGAACTCTCTCTCTCCTCCATCTCTCCTCTCTCTCTCTCTCTCCTCTCTCTCTATCTCTCTCTAGTCAGTCCTCCTCTGCCTCCATCATCCATCAGCTTTTCTCTTTTGTGCTTTTTCCATTGTCATTGACTTTAATCTCTCTCCTTCTCTCTCTCTCTGAATTGGTACAAGTAAATTCCATTTTTGCATTCATTGAGCAAACCCAAGAGAGGATTTTCTCCCAAATCAGTGTTCTTTGATACATTTGGTAAAAGTCCTTTTGGTTTTAGAAGGAAATTAAGGGTTTTGAATTGGGCAGAAGCCATGGCAGCTCCTAAACCAGAAGAGATAAGCCATCCAGCAATGGACCAACTTCAAGGCTTAGAGTACTGCATTGACTCAAATCCCTCTTGGGGTATGTTTATTTTTTCATCTTTTCTCAAACCCAAATCTCCATTTTTTTTGCTTGGGTTTTTGTGCTTTCCCAATTTTGGTTCTCATTTTTTGTTTCTGAAAACAGGGGAAGCAATTGCTTTGGGGTTCCAGCACTACATTTTGGCTCTAGGAACTGCTGTGATGATCCCATCATTCCTTGTTCCTTTGATGGGTGGTGATGATGTGAGTTGATTTTGCATACCATCTTCATTGAATTCTCATCTTTGTGTGGCCTTTGTTGGGACTCTCTCAAAAGTGAGGCTCTTCATGGACTCTCTGCCGCCTCATGTTTTTGACACAATGTTTTATAATGTTGGCATGAAATAGCGTTAAACTGTGAGGTGATAGAGAGTACATCGGGAGTCCCACTTTTAAATGAACCCCTTCTTGTTTGAATTGGAGATTAAATTCAAGTAGATTTTCAATATTTTTAAATCTTGCTAATTTCTTAAGAAATGATAGTGTAAATTCACATAGCAAAACTGGTCAAGATTGATTTTTTATTTTTTATTTTTTAATGTTTGTGGCTTATATATGGATTGATATGGATGATGAATGTGCTCCTTATTTTACTCACATAGCAAAAGTGGTCAAGGTTTTATTTTTATTATTATTTTTAAGGTTTGTGTATTTTTAATTGATCAGGGTGACAAAGTGAGAGTAGTGCAGACTCTACTTTTTATTCAAGGAATCAACACCCTTCTGCAAACATTATTTGGAACCCGATTGCCAACCGTAATTGGAGGGTCTTACGCATTCATGGTCCCGATAATATCCATAATTCATGATTCACGGTTGATGAAGATTGAGGACAATCATGTGGTAAGTTCAATTATTAGCTCACTTGTGCATTTGATTTGGTTTTATGCAACTTGAAATGTGTGTTATGTGTTATTTCGTTGATAACTGATAGAAACTGCTATGAGTTCTTTCATTGACACTTGATAGAAACCAACTGAGTCCATTCTTTCCCCTGCACGAATGCATGAATAAATGTTTTATATTTAAAGAATTGTGACTGCTAGCGTGCGCTTCTGTATACATGTAGTTGTATTTAGCTGCCAATTACTTAGTTTGCATTCCTCATGATCATATTGTAGAGGAAAGTTTCTCAAACTGCTACCTTGCTACTAATTTGGCTGTTTATGAAACTTTGGATACAAAAGCCAATGACATTTCATGTATCTCTAGAGATTCCTTGACACCATGAAAGCAGTCCAAGGTGCTCTGATAGTAGCTTCAAGCATACAAATTGTTCTGGGATATAGTCAAATTTGGGCCATCTGTTCCAGGTACAAATTTTATCTCCAAATCAACAAGCAAGTTTCGATAATCTTCTTTATTTCATATTTAATGAGGGAATCTACATTACTCCGTATAGGTTCTTCAGCCCGCTTGGAATGGTCCCGGTTATTTCCTTGGTGGGTTTTGGCCTGTTTGATAGAGGCTTCCCCGTGGTATAGTGAAAACTACCATTGCCATTATTCTCAATTATTAATTTTCTCAAGTTTTGAAAGATGGAAAGCAATTCTCTTTCCGTATCACTTATTCCAGTTCCCTGACTTCAGTCAATACTTTCAGGTTGGAAAGTGTGTGGAAATTGGCATTCCCATGCTTATCCTTTTCGTAGCTTTCTCTCAGGTATTATTAATGTTCCTTATGTAATAACATATGATATGCTCTGTTTAGTGCTTACGGAGAAAGGAAAGGGCAGATGTTAGGAAAGTAGCTTTGTATAAAACCATTATAGTGTACCTCGTTGAAATTCATACAATCTTCTTAGTTGTGCTGTGTCTGTCCTGTTGGTGTAAACAGTACCTAAAGAACTTCCATGCAAGACAAGTACCAGTTTTAGAACGATTTGCTCTTCTTATATCAGTCACAGTGATATGGGCATACGCACACCTCTTGACCGCCAGTGGCGCATACAGACACCGCCCAGACATAACCCAAGTCAATTGCCGAACTGACAGGGCCAACCTCATTTCTTCTGCTCCATGGTTGGTACCAAAACTAGCTTTTAATTGGTTGCACAGTCTGCATTAACTTGCAAAAGAAATGGTTAAGATATATTCACCCCACCCAAATGTAAGTAAAGTGCACTTGCAAGTACTAAAAATCCCGGCACCAGAGTAGCTCGACATTTAAAAGCGTCTTTGTTTTACCTTTATTGTTCCATGTGTTGTGCGCGGAAATGTGAGGGCACATTCAATTTGTGAATATTTACAATTTCTCCTCCTAAACAGGATAAAAGTACCTTATCCTCTTCAATGGGGTGCCCCAACCTTTGATGCTGGTCATGCTTTTGGAATGATGGCAGCTGTTCTTGTTTCATTGATTGAGGTATAACCCATACGGACTTGGATGCCACTCAAGAATAGATGATATAAGTCAACGTAAACTAATGCATACTTTTACAGTCAACTGGAGCATACAAGGCTGCATCGCGTCTAGCAAGTGCCACAATACCTCCAGCTCATGTTCTTAGCCGTGGAATTGGCTGGCAGGGGATAGGAATCCTACTTAATGGACTCTTTGGAACGTTGACTGGCTCAACAGTCTCTATGTAAGTAGTGACGCTTCTTGGTCTCGGATATCCACTTGATGGAACTGGACTAATTTTTTCGGAAACATTACAGAGAAAATGTGGGGCTTCTTGGGAGCACTCGTGTTGGAAGCCGTAGGGTCATTCAAATCTCAGCCGGTTTTATGATATTCTTCTCCATGTTAGGTTAGTCCTGGACAAACATATGATTTTTTGTTGCCTAGTATCACACTTCCAATCCGTCTTCCAGTTTTTAACTCAAATCATTGCTCTTGCAGGTAAATTTGGAGCTCTGTTTGCATCAATACCCTTCACCATATTTGCTGCTGCCTATTGTGTATTGTTTGGTCTTGTCGGTAAGGATCCAATTTTACTTTCACATTTATTTTTAGATTTTATTGAGTAATTTATCTCAATCGTTTATCTGCATCTAATTGCTAATCAATTATGTGCTCTCAGCTTCGGTGGGGTTATCCTTTTTGCAATTCACAAACATGAACTCGATGAGGAACCTCTTTATTGTTGGTGTAGCGTTATTCTTGGGTTTGTCTGTTCCTGAGTACTTCAGAGGTTACACTTTGAAGGCTTTGCACGGTCCTGCTCATACCAAAGCAGGATGGGTGAGTTACCCTTCTTTAAACCTCAGAGTCTTTTTCTTATACAATGAAAAATTGGTAAACTTAAGTTATACCTATTTAAGGGGATCATCATTGTCACTGACTTTCTGTTTCTTCGATGTGCAGTTCAACGATTTTCTGAATACCATCTTCTCCTCATCTCCGACTGTGGCCTTGTTTGTTGCTGTTTTCCTGGATAACACACTTGAGTACAAGGACAGTGCAAGAGACAGAGGAATGCCATGGTGGGTCAAATTTCGGCAATTCAAAGGGGACAGCCGCAACGAGGAGTTTTACACTCTCCCTTTCAACCTCAACCGATTCTTCCCTCCATCTTGAAGTGGCACCGTTAGTAGTCCATTACCCGAAAAGATGTTTAGAGGAAAAACATCTTTTCCCATAGGGATTAGATCAGTTAGGAGCAAAGTGGAAGCAAAGCCAGACAGTGATCTTACATGTTCCCTGAAATGCAGGGAAATGACAACAGTGCTTCTGCTGCCCTATAATTTTAATATTTATATTTTGACTCGGATTATTCGGGTTTAATCCAGTAAGTATAATTAGTTCAGTTTTGTTCATCCTTTCTTGGTGTAATTTTTTGGAAGTCATTACTTTGACTTGCGGCTATGAAATATCTGGTTAATGTTTGCAAAACACGTCTGGTATCATTCTATTCTTGTGATAAAAAGGAAGAAGAAAATGCATATAAATCGGAAAGAGAAACTTTACAACTAATCCAGCGCTGCGACCACACTTTCATCAGCCAGATAAAGGTAAAAGTTCCGCTCCGGTGGGAGGTGAGGTGAGTTTCCTTGGCAGCCAAGTTAGGGTTGAGGCTGGTGAAGGAATTCATCCACCTCCTCAACTTTCACCAAGTTCTTGATATTACTTTCCTCCATTGGCCTTCAAAAACTTAATCTTGATTTTATTGAGTGTGGCTACAGAATCTCGCATGCCAACCCTCTCTTCCGGAAATTCGGCAGAACAACCTAGAGCTAATCTCATAATGGACGATAAACAATCCCTCTTGCTCGAAAAATCACGATCTTCCTCCGTTCGAAGTAAGCTGGCATCCACAACTTCAACAATTGCATCTTGAAATAATGAATTTGAAATCCATTGCTTTAAATTCATTTCCCCAGCAAACATCTCATCTGTTGGCTTCTTTTTTGTGAATGTTTCCATAAGTACAATACCAAAACTGTACACATCCCCTTTTGTGGAAACAATTCCATCCATGCCATACTCTGCATGTAATACGTAAACTTAATCATATATGAAGAAAAGAAATCTACAAGTTAACCTTCTTAAAAATATAGACTGAAAAATAAACTATTAATCACCTGGAGCCATATATCCGATCGTCGCTAGGGTCATGGTTTGTGTGAAAGAATCTCCTTCACCCAAGAGTTTCGCAATGCCAAAATCAGCAACATGTGCAACCATATCTTCATCTAGTAGTATATTGCTTGGCTTCATGTCGCAATGCACAACAGGTATCGAATAACCATGGTGAAGGTATTCCAATGCCAATGCGACATCTATCATTATGTTCAACCTTTGTAGGATATTCAAAGAAGAGTTTTGAGAATACAACCACTTCTCAAGGCTCCCATTAGGCATGTACTGGAGTACCAGGGCTTTGAAATCAATTTGACTGCAACTACTGATGATTTTGACAAGATTCCGGTGACGGATATTGCTTATCACTTCACATTCACTATCAAAACTCTTGAAAGCCCCTTCTATCTGTAAATTGAAAACCTTTACAGCAACATCCATCCCATCCGAAAGTGTTCCTTTATATACGGAGCCAAAACCCCCGTTGCCAAGTAAGCTGTTTTCGTTAAATCCATTTGTCGCCCTTACAAGTTGCAGGTGTGAAACTCTTCTCCATTGAAATTGAGGCGACAAGACCATCTCCCTTCCAACTTCCACATTCCTTTTCCTGCGTAATATCAACGTTGAAACAGCGGCCACGATGAGCAGTGCTGATAAGACCCCTGGAATAATATATTTCAGGATGGGTGCTCCAGCTTTCCTTGAATGCGGTTGTTCTGTACCTTTTTTGCATGGTGGAACTTTCAGTCGGGGTACGCCACAAAGTAAACCATTCGAAGCAAATGATTGAGCTGAGAAGTTTTGGAAGGGCCCGCCCATTGGAATTTCTCCTTGGAGTTTATTGGAAGACAAATTTAGATACTTGAGGTGTACAAGTGCTTGCAATGACTTTGGAATCATTTCAGACAGATTGTTGTTTGATAAATCTAAAAGTTCTAGGCTAAGCAAGTTGCCACATGAACTAGGAATAGGGCCTTCAAAGTTATTATTTTGCAAGGAGAGATTAACTAAATTTGTAAGACCCCCAATGCTGCTTGGTAGACTACCTGAGAAATGGTTGTTTGATAAATCCATGTCAACGACAACTCACAGTTTTCCAACGTCCTCTGAGAGTGATCCAATTAGAGAGTTGAATGACAAGTTCAGGTACAATATATCAGCAAGTCCCCACAAGGTAGATGGTATTGTAGAAGTTAACAAATTCGACCCCAACGATAGACTTCTTAGAGCGACTGCCAGAGTGCCCAAGCAGGAAGGTATAGGACCAGAGAGTTGATTACCGTCCAATACTGCATAAGCTAGGTTCTCTAGTTGACAAAGTTCAGATGGGATGAATCCTTGCAATCTGTTATTGTTCAAATATAAAACTTGGAGATTCCGTAGCCTTTCTAATGAAGTTGGAATTGTTCCACTCAATTGATTCTTATCCAAGGCTAATGCTATCAAGCTGCTCAAGTTTCCAATATCCATGTGAATGCTTCCCCTTAAGTTGCAACTGCTTAAATCAAGGTACTGAAGGGATGGAGAGAAATATTTCCCAAGAGACACCGGAAGCGTGCCATTGAATGGATTATTACCCAAGTATAATGTTGTCAAATTTCTTAGGCTAGCCAAACAAGAGAGAATGCTTGCTTCTGGAGTAGAAGTATCAATCGTCAAATTATTATGGTTTAAGCTAAGCCACTGAAGGTTTCTTAAGGGACAAAGTGTGCTCGGAATAAACCCCGTAAGTGAGTTTCTCTTCATGTCTAACTTGATGAGCTTAGAAGCATTGGAGAAATTGGGGATACCTCCGCTGAAGTTGTTTGATGCTGCATAAAGGAATTTTAGGTTTGGAACCCCAAGGCCTATGTTTGCTGGGAGGCTACCTGAGAGCTGACCAAAAGAAAGTGTTAGGGTAAAATTGGCAATCCCTGACAAAATGCCTGAGTCTGTAATAGCTTAGACTTGTTACATATTTACAATTGTAATAGTTTTAGCCTAGGGAGGTTTCTCACACTTTCAATGCGAAGATGTTACCAAAACGCGATAATCATTCAGGTACGTTTGCATGCATGCATCCAACTACATTCATCCATATCCATATATTATTGTATTTGGGTTAGGACTTTTATTCTTGTGTGTTTTTACTTTTCTAGAATCAAATTATCCTGTCTTTCAAACCGTGTGATAAAACTGGTTTTTCAAAACTTGTTTTCAAATCTTATCTGTTTGCATGAGGAGTTATCTGATTGCATGTTGGTAGAATTGTTAAACTACATGGATTGCTTTGTAGTACTTATCAGATAAAGGATAAAGGGTCAATGCTTTTGCATATATATATATGGGAAGTTAGGAACGTGAAAAGGTGAGCCAAATAAGCATGAAAAACTGATTTTATTGAATAGAATTGTTAGAAACATCAGTTTGGGTTTTGTGTGCATTGAAAACCAATTTAAATACGGCTGTTGCTTGTGGTTTGAAGGGCATGAGTTTTTAATAGAAAATGTTATTTTTCATGCTGGTTTTCTTGAGGTTTTAAATTGAATATCAATTATGGAAATGAGCTTTGTGATTTTCGTAATTGATTGTTTTTCAAACAAACACTTCATCATATAAACATTCTGCATGATCGAGTTAGCATCCTGCAAAGTTCGAGGGAAAGGTGATTGACGGCTGCGTTAGTGTCGTGCCACTTCAACTCGAAGACTGAAGAAAGATCGAGTAGCAAAGCGCGGAGACAAAGCTGCCAACTGGTATGAGTGTCTAGTTGATGAGTTTTGTAAGTCTTTATGTATTCTTTCTTTCTTAGTGCTTCCTGGCTTGGTAGCCCGAGGATTTTCCCAGTGGTGGGTTTTGCCTCGTAAAATCCTACATCCCGTGTGCACATTTTATTTATCTTTATAATTGCATATGTGTAGGATAGTTTATATGTGATGTGAATGTGGATTAATTTGAGAACTGAAAATTAAATTGAAATTTGAATTGGACTTTTAAATTGGAACCTATTCAACCCCCTTTAGGTTAAACTAGTACCATCCTAGAACTTTCAATTGGCACCAGAGCAGGTCACTAAAAATACCTAGTGAGATCCGTGGGTAGTCTAGGATGAATCGTGCTATGAGTTCAGTTTCTCATCCACCACATTTTGATGGTGACAACTATGCTGCGTGGAAGTCAAAAATGAAATCGTTTTTATGGGCGCAAGATGACAAGGTGTGGCTTGCTGTTGAAGAAGGTTGGGAACCTCCAACGATTGAAGAAACTAAAGATAAAGGAGAGTCCTCTGTGTCTATATCTAAGCTTAAGCCTAGGAAAGAATGGAGCAATGATGAGCGTAGCTCTAGCACTTTTAACCAAAGGGCTTTGAATTCTTTATTCACAACAGTTTCGCCTGAACAATTCAATTACATAAGTAAGTGTACAACGGCGAAAGAAGCTTGGGACATTCTTGAAGTTACTCATGAGGGTAACTCAACTGTTAAAGAATCCAAACTTCAACATCTCATCACAAAATTTGAAAATATCACAATGTCTGATGATGAAAGTTTCTCTGACTTTTATGCTAAGCTTAGCGTAATTGTCAATGGCTGTCACAATCTTGGTGACAGTATTCCTGAGCATAGGATTGTGAAAAAGATCTTAAGATCACTTCCTATGAGGTTTCATGCTAAGAGGACAGCGATTGAGGAATCGAAAGATCTAAACACCTACAAGCTTGAGCAATTGATTGGGTCTCTGCAAACGTACGAGTTAGAGCTTCCTGATTCCAAGAAGATGAAAAGTATTGCTCTCAAAGCTGTCAAAGAAGAAGAAAGTGATGGCTCAATTGAAGACTTGTCCGAAGATGAATTGGTTGAATTAACCATGCAAATTAGAAGGTTTCTCAAGTCTCAAAATTCCAAGGGTCGTGAGCAACGAACCAACTCAGGTTCGAACTCAAAAAACTTTCGTTCTCTAGATGTCTCACATTACAAAGCCTCTAGATCATCTAGAACTAGTGAACATAGGAGTTCTAACAATAGGGTTCAGTGCCATGAGTGTCAAGGCTATGGACACATTGCTTCTGAGTGTGCAAACACTATCAAGAGAAGAGAAAAAGAATAGGGCAATGAAGGTCACTTGGAGCGATAGTGATTCAGGGGATGCATCTACGTCGGAATCTGAGAAGGATACGATTGCGTTTATAGGAACTGTTGATGGATATGACACAGAAGGTTCATTTGTTGAAGAACCTGACCTGGAAGAAGTCTTGAGAAAATATTCTGATCTCTATGACATCAGTGTGCAAGTAAAAAAGGATAACTCTAACTTGAAGAAGAAACTTGTATTTGTTGAAAGTGAAAAGAAAGAAGCTGAAGTTGAGCATCAATCTCAGTTGGACAATGGAGAGAAACTGCGAGAGTCGTTGTTAGAGAAGATTCACATTCTACAAACCACAATTAACACTCTCTCGTCTGATAAGAAAGCTCTTGAGGACGAAGTGGTTGAGATGAGAAGAAAAGTTCAGGAGTTGAGCATAGGTTCGGGGAAAATTGACAAGATGCTTAGCTATGGAAAAAGTTTTGGAGACAAAGGAGGTCTAGGATTCGAGTCTACAAAGACTACAAGTTCCTCTTCTGTCACCAGATTTGTCAAAGCCTCTGATATTCCTAGTTTGAAAGTAGATGACGATAAATGTTTAGGTCTTACTCCCAAAACATCTACAATCTTTGCACATGTGTCAAATCCTGTTAAGACTTCAATTAATCTTAACAAACCCAAACAATCTAGGAAGTTCATTCCTATATGTCATCTTTGTGGGATTCCTGGTCACATCCGGCCTAAGTGCAATAAGCTTAGAAAGAAAAATTCTTCTCAAGAAAAAGTTTCAAGGAACTTTGAAAAAGAAAATATTAAGGAACAATTTGTGACTTATTTGAAAGAGATTAATCGGATTGCAAGAATTATATCTGTTCCAAGTACAGTAGTTCCAAAAGTGAGACAAGTTTGGAGAAGAAAAGAGAATCAAAGTGGTGTACTTGACAATTTATCTCCACCTTCAAGTTGTTTATATTGACTAAGCTCTCTCTTTGCAAATGTTTTCATTAATGTTTGCTTGCATGTTCATATAGCATAAATACTGCATTTTTGTCTTTCTTTTTGTTAAAAAAATAAAAATAAAAAATAAAAAATAAAAATAAATAAAAAAATAAATGTATGAGGAAAAATGGAAAAGTATGATTTCATATGAGTTCTAGCTTTGTTCACTTGATAACATGACCCTAGCATGATATGTTTGACTCTGTTGTGGACAATAGCCTCTTGTTGATAATATATCAATGATAATGAGTTGAACATGTTTAACTTGAGTAAAACCCGCACCCATGTGAGCTTTTGTGCCTAAATATAGTGTGTGCATTTTTCATACACTCTTAATTTTTTTCATGTGTGTGATCTTATGTGTTTTTCTTCTCTAGAACTTGCTTTGAGACCTCTCAAAACTTTGTATCATATATTATTCTATTTTGGAGATGATAGTAGGCATTAGGACTTACCATCATTGCCATATATGCCAGTGCCTTACATGTTTTCCCCTAGTTAGCCCTTTTGAGCCTATATGTAAGCCTTTTGTTCTTAAACCTACATTTTCCTTACCTAGCCTCTTATATTAAAAATTCCCTACCCTACTAAGAAGCTAGTAGAGTACGTTTTTCAAAGGAGAGTGTTCAAGGTTATTTAAAGGTTGAAGATGCAAATTTTGTGACGAATGCCAACTACAAATGAAGAGCAAAAGAAGAAAAGAGGAAAATAAGTCACTATGAATCACGAGTGAGCTGCCAGCATTATAAGAAATCAAGTGTGTTGGCATAAATGAAGAGCAAGAATCATCTTAAATGTGCGGTTGTATGTCGTTCATGTCTCAAATCCAACCGCTCAATTGAGTGCTAAGTTACCTGGTTCGTTGCTGTATTTCTCTCTTGGTTTCATTTCCAACTACTCTATTAGTTTCTTAGACTTTGTGTTTCCTATATCCTTCATTTCTTTAACCGAGTACCTGAAGCCCCATTACACCCTTAACAAAGACCTACTTGATTCAAATAAGTTAATTTTTGATGTGTGGAGATGAGATCAATCTGCAAGCCTATGGTAGAGCATTCATGTAATGATCTTTTGAGCGTATACACTTACCCCCAAACACTTTGAATGAAAATTCGAGCGTATATCTTGTGAGCTTAAGGGTTAAAGTTAAGTTGGTCATGTAAGACTTAATTACATTTATGTAGTATCAACTTTTGGCTATACTTGCAACTACACTCATACATGTTATGTTTTAGGGACAATGTTAGGTTGTGAATGAGGATTCATAACTACATGTGTTTTTGCACTCTTTCATTCTTGTTGGAACAATTATATGCTTCTCATACAATTATAAAAAATAAAAAAAAAATCATATCATTTGCGTGCGCATTTCATTATATTTTTTTTAAAGCATTTGTTTAGGGGGAGCTTAACAATATGAAAGTTGCATTCCTTTTCATGTTTCTCTTTCGACTATTGCACTTGTATTCTTTTCCCTCCCAATTTCGTTCCCACTTTTATTCTTCCGAAGCAGTTCTAGTTCACATAAAGGAAATCTTTCTCCATCACATTTTGTTATGTTCCACTTATCTTCCGCTGACTGCACCTGATGGTTAACTCTAAGGCCTTTGACCTTTCTAGACAAAAAGGGGGAGAAGTAGGAAGCCTATATTTAGGGGGAGAAGTAGAATTTCGAAAACCTGGTTGTTTTTGGTTGCTTGCTGTTATAGATAAATGCTTTCATTTACAGCAGCATATATCTTTTGTACGTCACATGTTTTCTTGTTTGAGTGTGTGCAGGTTACAGACTTCAATGTTATGCATGATCGTTAAGTTTATTAGTTGTCTGTAATACTGTGATAGAGGGTTTTGTCAAGGAAATGCCAAAGGGGGAGATTGTTAGGGTAAAATTGGCAATCCCTGACAAAATGCCTGAGTCTGTAATAGCTTAGACTTGTTACATATTTACAATTGTAATAGTTTTAGCCTAGGGAGGTTTCTCACACTTTCAATGCGAAGATGTTACCAAAACGCGATAATCATTCAGGTACGTTTGCATGCATGCATCCAACTACATTCATCCATATCCATATATTATTGTATTTGGGTTAGGACTTTTATTCTTGTGTGTTTTACTTTTCTAGAATCAAATTATCATGTCTTTCAAACCGTGTGATAAAACTGGTTTTTCAAAACTTGTTTTCAAATCTTATCTGTTTGCATGAGGAGTTATCTGATTGCATGTTGGTAGAATTGTTAAACTACATGGATTGCTTTGTAGTACTTATCAGATAAAGGATAAAGGGTCAATGCTTTTGCATATATATATATGGGAAGTCAGGAACGTGAAAAGGTGAGCCAAATAAGCATGAAAAACTGATTTTATTGAATAGAATTGTTAGAAACATCAGTTTGGGTTTTGTGTGCATTGAAAACCAATTTAAATACGGCTGTTGCTTGTGGTTCGAAGGGCATGAGTTTTTAATAGAAAATGTTATTTTTCATGCTGGTTTTCTTGAGGTTTTAAATTGAATATCAATTATGGAAATGAGCTTTGTGATTTTCGTAATTGATTGTTTTTCAAACAAACACTTCATCATATAAACATTCTGCATGATCGAGTTAGCATCCTGCAAAGTTCGAGGGAAAAGTGATTGACGGCTGCGTTAGTGTCGTGCCACTTCAACTCGAAGACTGAAGAAAGATCGAGTAGCAAAGCGCGGAGACAAGACTGAAGAAAGATCGAGTAGCAAAGCCCGAGGATTTTCCCAGTGGTGGGTTTTGCCTCGTAAAATCCTACATCCCGTGTGCACATTTTATTTATCTTTATAATTGCATATGTGTAGGATAGTTTATATGTGATGTGAATGTGGATTAATTTGAGAACTGAAAATTAAATTGAAATTTGAATTGGACTTTTAAATTGGAACCTATTCAACCCCCTTTAGGTTAAACTAGTACCATCCTAGAACTTTCAGAAAGCCCTATTTCTCTTATCATGGATATGTTGAAGATTGTGGCTGGGACGAGGCCATTGAGATTATTATCCCCAAATGTCAAAGTCTCTAAATTTTGAAGATTGCCAATCTCATTTGGTATTGTACCTGCTGAATTGAGAAGACTTATGTTTGAAACAAAATTGATGTATAAATGCATGTCTTTATGTTTATGTATATGGTTTTTAGTAATTGTAGTGGAGATGAAGATATATGCATATTGTTTATAATATGAAGATATATGCATTAGTGGTTCTTTTTATGAGCAGTAAGAAGAGTTCGATCTCGGAATCTCTTTCAACATTGAAAAGAGAAGTATCACTAATATGAAGTATGCTAAACTAAAAATTTCCGGTGAGAAATTATGAATTATTAAATAATGATAAATCATTGTGGGAACAACAAATATAAAATGTGACAAAAAAAAATTTACCTGTCAAATTGTTGAAGCCAAGATATAACGCTGTCAGCTGGGTCAAATTGCCAATATTTTTGGGTATGGTTCCAGTGAAATTGTTCTCCCCCATTAACAATATACCAAGCCCTTTGCATTGCCCTAATTTGGAAGGAAGTGGCCCAGAAAACTGGTTGCTACCCAAATGCAACACCTGAATATTTGGAAGGTGCTGACATATGTTGTCTGGAATACTTCCAATCAAGCTGTTTTTGTATACAGTTAGAGTAGTCAAAGTAGATATGTTGAAGACAGCCATAGGAAGAGGTCCCTTCAGGGCATTGAACTGCATATACAAGTCCTCCAACTGATCTAAAAATCCCATCTCCTTTGGAATTTCTAAAATTCAACGCATACATATTAAATTCATCAGTCGAGGTTCCTAAATTTACTTAAACCAATGTTTCTTTTTACGCACATGTTAAATTGTGATTGACATAAATGTAGAGTTTCTAATTTCAAGAAAGGAGCCGAGCAATGTCTTTTACAACGACAAAGTGGAGTTATGTACCTGTGAATTTGTTGTTGTCAAGGTATATCGCCTTGAGCATTGTTTAAGTTTCCAATTTCTCTCGGAATGCTACCTAATAAATATGCACATGGCATAATAAATAAGGCAAATAAAGAAAAGGTTTTTTTTAGTCAAAATGATCTCTGAGATTAATCCTCATTTTGGTCCTTAAGAATGAAAATTCATGATAGCGGTTTCTGAGTTTGTTCACCGTAAATTATTTTGGACATTCCGTGAAAAATTTGTCAATACCCTCGTTAAGTGGAGGGGTTGATTTAACCAAAATACCGTTGAAAGGGTGAACATGTGGCTATTTACGCGACAATTTAACCAGAATATCGACAGAATTTTTACGGAATGACCAAAATGATTTATAGTGGACAAACTCAATGAACACTTCTATCAATTCTCATTGTGAGAGACCAAAATGAGAAAAATATGACAATCTTATGACCATTTTAGGGAAAAAAGAAAAAGAAAAAAAAAAAGGCCTAAAGAAAACATATCTCATAAAATAAATCTTATGTTTCTCTTAGTTATAGATTCAAAAACATGTTTAAACCTAATGCTCGATCAACAAAATATTCCTAAATATATAGCGTATAGATGCATAGGTACATATATATATATATATACCTGATAGTCGGTTATTGCTAAGATCAATTCCTTAAAGTGCAGATAAGTTGAAGATAGCAGTGGGTATCGAACCAGAAAACTGATTACCATTCAGTCTCATCCTTTGAAGTTTAGATAAGGACCCGAACCATGATGGGATGGTCCCCACAAAGATGTTGTTCGCGAAGCTAACTCTTGTCAATCGGCGCAAGCGGGACAATTCCTGGGGCAAGGTGCCATGGAAACTGTTGTTTCCGAATTCCAGTCGAACAAGAAATGAGAGGTTGCCTAAGTGGGGAGGGATAGTGCCTGTGAGATTCATGTAAGAGAGATTCAAGGCTGTGACTCTGAGGTGACGTAGACTGCAAGTAACGCCGATCCAGCTGCAAATATTGGAATTGGAGGTAGACCAGTTGGTCGTCAAGATGTTTTGAGGGTCACTAGTGACATGAGCTTTCAGAGCACTAAGAGCCGACTCATCTGTGCTGATGTTGGATTTTGTTGCTACTGCGCCTATTGTGAAGTTAGGCATATACATACAGCAGTTCTGGACCAGCAGCAAAGTAATGGACAAGAGAAAACAAGTTGTCGCCATTTTGTACAGGCCGTCGGTGATGTGAAAAATGTGAAATTGCATTCTGTAGCAAACAATTTCTAAAATTCAAGAAAACATAAGTGACGAAAGTTCAAAGATATTTATTTTTCTTCAGTTAAAACTATTTATTGACTTGTGAATTAATATTGGAAGACTTGTGACTGGACATCTCACATCTGTTTCCACACATCTTCACAGGTCAACACACGCCATTCAACCATATTCCATATCTATCGACAAAGTCATTATTGTTTTGAAGCATATAAAGTCATCACCGTATGGTATGAATGTGAGGTGTGTACGTATTATGGTTAAGTATGTAGGGTGTGTTAAGATAAATTTTAACTAAAAAAGAAAATGTGAATTGGCTGGGGTATATTCAACAATATATGGGTTTTAATATAACAAGTCATGAAAAATGGGTTTTAATATAACAAACCATTAAAATTGGGTTGAACACAAAAATATATAATGGTTTACCTATAAACGAGACTACATCTACTCTAGTCTGTCTATATATTTGCTGAGATTACATACAAATTGTACATGAAAAAATTGGCTCAAAGACCCGTAGGCTTTTCTCCCCTCTCTGAGACAACACCACCCAAAATAACTAATGAAAATGATTTGAAAACTTTGAGTTTTAACGATAAGGACAAAATAAAGGGGGGGTTAAAGTGAATAGTATCAGGATTGACTTTTTAGTGTAAAAATGTAATTTTTCGTTAAAGTGAACAGTACATAGAGCTTTTCGTTAAGGTTCCCAAAAAAAAAGGTCTACCTTCTTTCCCTCTAAATAAGCAAAAAGCCAACCTCTAAGTGTGTGGTCCCAAAATTTTAGGGACCCCAAAAATAGTTTTTTATTAAATATAATAATATTAAAAAAAAATTTATATAAAAATACTAATTAAATAAAATAAAAAAAAAAAATATATATATATATATATATATATATATATATATATATATATATTTGATGGGCAAAGCTGACACGCCCCAACCCTGATATCCTCATATACCAGGGTAAACACGTGTTGGCCGACACCTGAAAGTGACGAAGCCATTTTAAAACATGCTACCAATAAAAATACGTAATTCGAATGACTATACCAAAGCAGAAACGTGTTCAGAGCATACAACTAATTAAGAATAATATGAAAGAATCATTAAGAAGAGACACGAACAAGGAATCGATACCTATATTGAAAAGACTCAAGGATACCTATGTCGTAGAGTCTTGACGCCAGGATCATGTGCCTCGATCCTAACTCCTGAGGGAGCGCAAAACAAAAAAAGTGAGTGGACTATAATTTATAATAATACTAATAATACGAAAACTGGTTTATTTCAAAACATGCTAAACCCGCTGTTTTGAAAACATATATATAATACTACATATAGGTTTTATGAAAAAACCCTAGCATGCCGCACAAAACATTCGTAAAAATATTTATGTGTAAAACCATGTTTAGTATGCTGAAAACACTGCCCGAAGGCAAATCCATAACCTCCTCAATATTGTACTTTGTAGGGGTATCACAGTCACCCAAAGGCAGTACATGTCCATGACCCGAAGGTGAAGCTGTACGACACTGGGTTACACCAGTAAAGCAACATGGTAGTCCTCATCACCTAAAGGTGAAGCTGTATGACTCTGAGTTACGCCGGAAAATGAAATATATACATCACACACCTACACTAGCCCCGAGCTAGTGAAGTTGGGGGTATCACATAAGTACCTATCCATCACCCGAATGTGAAGTTGTACGACACTGGGTTACGCCAGTTAAGAAACATGGTAGACCCCATCACCCGAAGGTGAAGCTGTATGACTCCAGGTTATGCCGAAGAAGGAAATATAACATCGATATCCTCAACTGTGTCCTATGACCATAGACATCAATATACTCGTGTTGTGTGGATGTGTTGTATGATAACTCGCTAGATACGTACCAAAAACATACCTTAAAATCTCTTAACAAATTCGTAGCTCAAAACTCAAAGTCTCACAAATCCAATATAAAACACATTCATAAATTCATAGAATCTCATATTCGTAAACCCGCAAAATAACCCATATTCGCAAGCCAAAGAAATTCATATATGCAAATCCAATAACTCATAATCTTTAATAAACGTAAATTCGATAAATCATAAATATTTCATAAAGTACTTTAATTAATCATGAAGTATATGTAAACCATAATTATAGAAATCCGGGAAAACATATTATAAAACATATTCAATGCGTTAAATATGAAATGCACGCTAGGCTAATTTTTATAAAATATATATAAGTTAGGAAGAGGTCCACTCACTAGTATCCCATTGCCCAAGAGTGCTCGAACTAGTGAGAATGACGTCAATTCCCACCGATGCACCTAAACGTACATATAGAGGTCATTTAGTAAAACTCTATTAAAACGATCAAATTTTAAGAAACAGACATCAGATTTGGATTCAAGACATCAAAATTAGCCTAGTCCAGGTCGAAACCAAAAAAAGTCAACATTGACAAATCAATGGTCAATGGTCAAAGGTCGGACCGGGTCACAGTCAACGGTCAACGCTGACGGGGGTCAATGGGTCTAGGCTTGGGTATTTAGGTTAGGCCGGGTTTGGGTTTAGTGGTTTAGGGTTTTAGATTGGGTTAAGGTTATTGAGCCAAGGGCTTTGGGTTAATGGGTATTGGATTGGGCTTTGGGTTTGGGCCGAATTTCGATTTGGTTTGGGTTTTAAGTTTGGGCTTGGGCTTAGGCCCTTTTTAATTTTTTTTATTTTATTTTTTTCTCTTCTTCTTCAGATTTTCGACCAAAAATCTGGCGAACTTCGAACAGTCCGTTCAGACCCAATTCTCAACCAAAACTAGTCATTCAGTATACCAAATTGAAACCCAAAGAACAAGAAATCGGAATATACCATTGGTTTCCTCAACCATGGTCGGAATTGGCCGGAAAATGGCCTGGAAGGCACCGGTTCATCAGAAAACTGGGTTTTTTTGCCGAAAAAATGGACGAAATTTAAACATCCATAAATTTATCAATACTCAACGAAATCGAATGATTCAAAAACGAAAATCGTAGTTCTCAACGAGACGAAGAGAATGGTACCTTGCAAGTTAGCTAATTCATCATGGTCTGGCCGGAAAACGCCTTGAAATCCTTGGAGGTTGCAAGAAATTGGGTAAGATTCAAATGGATATAACTTCTTCAATACTTAAAGAAACAAAATCAAGTGATTCAAAAACGAAAATCATACTTCTCGACGAGACGAAGAGAATAGTACATTTCGCGATGGCTAACTCGTCGTGAATCGGCCGGAAAGTGGCTCGAAACCCATCATATTCCCTAGTAGGAAAGCAAGAGAAAACTCCCATCACCGTTTCTAGGTTCATGGGTTTCGCCGGAGTGCGAGGGAGGTGACGGTGGTTATCCTTAATGTTGTTGTGGTTGTATGAGTGAGTGTGTGTGTGCGTGCGCTCGGAATGAAAGGAAGATAGAAAGATGATGGAGAGAGTTCGAGAGCACTTGGGAGAGAATACAAGGAGAAGAAGAAAGAGAGAGAAATGGGGTGTGGGCCCCACGAACCACAAAATTCTCAAATAAAATATAATAATAATTAATAAAATCATATGTTAAAAATTTTACAAAACCGTAATTTTGGGGACGGATCGTTACAAAAGCCATAAGACTAAGGGGAGAACCCCACTGAGGCAAATATTTCAGTGTCAGAGACTCATAATCCACTTTTCTTTTCTCATGCCAAAGTCCCATCGCTGCTTCCCACTTTTCTTCCTTCACACCAGAGTCCCAGACGTTGTCGCCAGTGACCCAATCTACTTTACTTCTCTCTTTGTCCCATTGGTTTTTTCCCACAAATCATTAAACCCTAATTTATAAGTTCATGCAATTGAAGAGAAACTTCCGAATCATGAAGACAATTCAACTGATCAAAGTGATGTAGACTTCGATTAAAGTAAGATAGTTACTAATTTAAGTATATTGACTTGAAATTTGAAGATTTGGATATTTCTCATCTATAATGATTTTTTTTCTTTTGAACTTAATTTGAGTTATTATTTCTTTTGGATATTTCTCATCTATAATGATTTTTTTTCTTTTGAACTTATGGTTAGTTATTAGTACTATGGTTACTTTGTAGCTTTCTTTACATTTAATAATATTTAGAAATAGGAGTAAATTACATAGTAGCCCCTCAGGTTTGAGGTCAATTACAACCCCATACAACAACTTTAAAACATTTCACTTTCATACATCCAGTACCATTTTATTTCAAAATAACACCTCCGTTAGATTTTCCATCCATTAGTCTGTTAAATGCTGACGTGACTACCACATTTGTGCTGATGAGGCTGCCACGTGGCAAAAATTTTTTTTTTTAATTTTTTTTAATCTAATCTTCTAAATATTAAAAAAAAAAAAACTTGAAAACGCAGAACCCCCCCCTCACCTCTCTTCTTCCTCTCTGTTTCTTCTTCTCCGCCCACTCTTTCTTTTCTCCCTCTCTGCTCTCTACTATCCTTTTTCACTTTTTCTTCAGCCTTCCTCCCCTCTCTCTCTCTCTTCTCGGTGCGGCATCGTTCCGTGGTTTGAGATTAACCATTCAAAAATCAGAACTTTGACCGCATTCGTAAGCACCCCAAACCCACCAACCAAGCACTGAAAAAATTCAAAATTTGAATACATACCTCGTTGTTAGAGCCGACGAGAGGGGCACTGGGTCCGGGTTTTTTGGGGGGGGGGGAGAGGGGAGAGGTTTCGGATCTGGGTTTGTTTGGGGGGGGGAAGTTTTCTGGGTTTAGTTGCAGATTTTTTGGGGGTGGATGTTTCCAGGTTTGCTTGCGGCGTCGGGGGGGGGGGTATGTGGGTTTGTATGCAGAGAGCAGAGAGGGAGAAAAGAAGAGGTTTCGGATATGGGTTTGTTTGGGGGGGGTAAGTTTTCTGGGTTTGGTTGCAGATTTTTTGGGGGTGGATGTTTCC